GTCTTAAAATAAAAACCAAAGACTTGACTCTCCACTGCGAGAGCTTGAAAATGTGTTGCGATCCAGATTCATGTCCAAATTCAATCCTTATCCACGATAATGATCACTCTCAAACCGAAAAAACCTATCCACTTTATCAGAGCACTACTCAATTGACCTCCATTAAAAGCAAAAGTAAATTATGACGCGTCATAACTGGCTATATCTGGCTCGAATTACCCTCCAAATCTTTGACACTGCACCTGTCAAAGGTATGGTTATAAGTTCACGCTGCAATTCGCACAAAACGGGAAAACAATTTTAATTTAATTTCTGAATTAAGGGATTAGGTCTAATGTAATCACCAAAAGGAACAGTTTAATGTTTGTTTTCTGGCAAAGGGATATGATATTGCATGGCAAGATCTCGATACAACAAATATGAGTCTACGAGTGATGGTGTCTGTGAATGTATTTCTCAGCGCATTTCTGCATTTCCGTCTCTCGTAAAACTTTTCTGTTTTTTTTTAGCCACTTTAGCTATCCCCCGCACAATATCTTTCACAGGGGCTTTCTTACATTACAGCCGGGAAATGGGATCTATTTTGCTCCCGCCCCACAAAATCATGTCAATGATTATGCAATGAAATAATGCAGTGAGTTCACATAATGCCCCTTTTTGGTCGAATACACTTCAAATTTGTAATGACTGCCAGTATTAGCAGAACCTTCTGATGATATTGTGTACTGAGCTTAAAAAGGTGGTTCTGAATTCAAAGTCCGTGAATTAAGCCATGCTTATACAGTGTTTCTTTTCCTATCGCCATAATTGGCACCGAAATGACAACAACAACAAAGAAAGGATCAGCACTTCCTGTGTCTATTCTAAATGAGAGACATCCCCTCTTCTATGAAGCGAATGTATTTTTTTACCATTTTGTCTTACAATTTAAACAAAATTGTTTTTTACCCTTTTATATCAGGTAGAAAAAGTAAAAGACAACATCCTACGCCTCGTGACCACCTATCCCTCCCCTAAGTCACAATTTTGCGCTAGTGAGAAGTGTTAATGTTGACTTAGGGAAGGGGTAGGTGGTGGTTCAAGTCACTAAATTAACACTTTCACACAGATTCAAACTTATGGGATGCACCTCTGTATCAATTTCGAGAATTCAATCTAAGTGTTGCTTTTCAAATAAATGACATTGAGCAACATTTTTCTGTCATTCTTTTTTTTGCAGCATGAAAAACCCATCAGTTCAAAAATATATTACTTAAAACTTTGAGAAAGGCCCCTTGCAAGTATGATCATCTATTATAACTCCTGAAGTGTTTTTGTCTTTTACAACAGCAAACAAGTGAGTGGTAAAGTAACACAGTGTCACTGCAGTCAAAATAAAAGCAATAAGCATATGTTTCCGCCATTTCTTGCGCCAGACGCGCACCACTGCGATATTCAAATAGGAAATCTGCAGCCAAAACGAGAACGAGTTAAAAACGAAATCGATACTAATAGCAATGGAGACGCGAATGAAAAATTGGGTGATATAAACCATGTTGGTAGACGCCGAGGAAGCATCATTGCGGTTGTACATGAAGTTGTAAAGCTGAATGAAACCGACCGCTGCTATCAATGACGTGGATTCGCCAAGGATCATCTGAATGCTCATATCGGCCACAAAGCGCATGCTCCTTGGGGAGCGAAATTGACTTGCTTTCAAAATGGTTTCACTCTCTTTTTTGAGCTTTTTGTAAACAAAGTACCAAAAATAATCCCGAATAACGATAGTCAACCTTTCCAGCAAGTCTATTGCACCATGCGCGAAGCTGAGGAGAATGAAAAGTCGGAGGCTGGTCAGTTCCGCTTGCATAACGCGAAAAACGATGGCGGACGCGCTGTACAGTACGTTTAACAGCACGTGCGAATCTCCTGGATGAAGGAAATCAATTCTTTGCGCCGCCAAGCGTACAATGACCTTTGGAGCAGCAGTTACTAGAGGCAATGCCCCGGCTATGATCGCTCTGTAGGTTTCAGATGCTTCGCCATACAGGGGTATAAGGACGTACACGAGACCAAACGTGATTGGAATTCCAAAAGCAAACTGAGCTACCAGCATCGACGATACCTTGATCGCTTTCTTGATTCTTTTGTTCCTTTCCACTTCGCTTTTCTTAGCAATGTCTCTGCCGATGATTAAACTGTTCATCAACAATAAGAGAACAAAGAGGACGTTGAGAGGGAATGACCTCCAGGGCTTGTTGTAAATGTCGTAAACTTGTAAATAAAGCCTGTAACAAGTGTCGAAGAAAGCGCCCAAAAGATTGAGAATCAATAAATTTAGTTCCTTTATCAAACGCCATCCAAACATAGTCAACACAACGAGAAACGTCCACAGTTGAACATAGTAAGCTTCGGTTGTAGCGGCTGTCACCATGACCGCCTGAATTCTTTTGGGAAGCGCTGTCCAGTTTTTGGACTGCATATCATAGCAAAGATCGACGGTATTGAAATCTATGACCAGTATTACAATAGCGAGCGATCCCAACGCAACACCACCAAGAATTTGAATATAGAACGCATGCTTCATGGCCTTCCATAGCGACAGTCGCCATGTTGGCGGGCGAGATCTTTTCCATCCCATTTTGCTGTCGTCCCCTGAGGGAGGATCGTACTCTTGAAAAATCTGATCATTTCGATTGAACTTTTTGAAATCTTCCATGGGATCTTGGCGTTGCAGTAATGGAGCGTCATCCAGAAGGCCTTGCCCTTGGTAAGACTGAATCACTCCAGCGGCGAACGTCTCCGAGATGTACGCAAACAAGCCTTCGAGCGAGAAAGGAGTAGCCGCCATTAGCTTATAACTAAATCGTCAAAGATCGAATACTTCCAGCTGCTTTACTGCCTCTTCTTGACTGGCTTTTGGGTTCTAAAAATCTCACGGCTTATATAGAACCAAGAATATAGTCGCTACTTGTCAGAGGCTCCATGACCAGACTGTTGTTGTGATCGATTAGTTCTTAGAAAGCGAAACATGAATAACCTAATTTGGCATCTGTGACCTTTTAATTGTTTTTTTTTTCTCTCCAAGGCAGCACAGAAAAAAATTTCAAACAAAAAGACGTGTACGCTTATCGTTTTCAAAGAATAAGGCAACTCACGATCAAGTAATCACGATCTTTTAAAAATATACAATCTATTTGAAACGCGATACAAACGTATAGAGAGCCGGTATAATCCTATACTTTTTGGGGTACTGACCCGTTAAAAAATTCCGGGAAGTTATAGAAATGCAAACAGAGGCCTTTTGTCTTGCTTATTTGAATAAGGTTTATCAAAGCATAGGGAAATTTATTCTTATCACGAAAAATGGCCTGGCGGAAATACTTCCTGTTCTGTGTTCATTTTGAGTAAGCTTTTTTTGTTTCAGCAGTAAGGCTGGCTTCGTGGCAGCATACTACAATCTGGGACAAAATAGATGGAAAATTTGTACCTCCACTCCCCCCTCAAATCAAGGATCCTTGATTTGGGGGAGGGGGGATGGGGGTTCGCTGTTCCATTTTATTCTGTCTAAGATTGTACACTCTTCTGAAGCAGAAGTCATGCAATCCTTTCTGAGCGATGAGTCTGTCTGTCTGTCTAGTCCCTTATTTTTAGATGATTTTTGCAGTCATGGCATTAAAAGATAACCCTTTTTTCAATTTTCAGTCGTCGTCCACCTTTGCCATCCGTAGCAACAGATGACACAAAACAGTTTCAATGTCTAAATATAGTCTTAATTTAAAAAAAACTGGACTGATACACGTTTAGCTTTGTAAAAAGATCGAGCAACTAGCATGACATCGCCCCACTTAGCAACCCCCGGGGGGGGTACTTAGTAAATGTTTATACGGGGAGGCTCCTCCCCGAGGTCCAACCCCTTTTTCTTTTATATACCATTTTTCACGAAAAAGGCACCCCTTTCATATACCTTCTATCGACAAATGGTACCATAGGGAGTACCCCCTCCCCCCTCCGGGTTAGCACCATAACCTGTACCCGTCGGAAAATTTCAATCCCAAAAAGACGGGTACGACGAGCACTCCCGTTTTCGCCGGGGAGGTCGATTCGAAAATTGCAACTAGAATGGAACCCCGCTCTACGGACACTCACTTGATGCAGACCGTAACGGACAGTTTCGTTTGTCCCGACGAAAAGGTCATATGTTCTCTCTAAAATCAACCCGCTTTATTTGCTCACCGGTTAATACGGACAGCAGACATCTTCCTGTTACAATCTCCCATATATCGTCAAACCTTCTAGGGTCGTGTTTCATACCAAAGGGCAGACAGGGAGCAGTATGCAAGATCAAATGCTGCAACTGCCATGCCACTTAAATTGGTGGAACCAGCAGAAACCTTAGCACGTAACTGACCGAACACAACGAGCCACAAGAAATGGTGACGTCATCGATCACATTGCTGAACACCATTCACAGACGAAACTTCATCAAATCGACTGGGAGTCTCTGCGACATGTATTACGTATTCCATAGACCATAATTAACGACTCCCGTTAGAAAGCTGGCGTACTAACTTAGAACAAACGCCACTGAATCGTAGTCAACAGCTACCAGTACCGTACAAACGACTTATCGACGGACTCAAGCAAAACTAACTACAAGAAAATGACTGGAGAACCGACAATTCGACTAATAATAAACGACTGGTTAACTGTGACAATAGACGGATCGAAACGCACCAATGACATTACGAGTCTTCATAGCCAATAACATCACGGCTTAACTGGCCTACTACCAATAACATCGCGACTTAATTGACCAATCAGGTCAATAACCAGAGTTTTCAAAATACCATCAACCGACGTGATACAACTCACTTTGCTCGGAAGATGACTACCGCACAGGTTGACAAAAGGCCAGTCACTGTCAACAACAATCCTACTCAGGACTACGTTCACCCAGAAGATCATGCTCCCTTGGTAAGTATCAACCGGGTTCCACTGTATGACCCTGGCAATATTCACTACTGTGATATTGCCATTTTAAAATATTTCTGACACTTAATGAACCTGACTTTTCTTACCTGCTGTGGTGCCCGCCCAGTGAAAGTGCTAGCATCCAGTATGGCGTCTAGCTGGTTGTGAATGGGAGCAAAGTATTCACAGGCCTTGATTCTCTCAACCAAATCATTGTCGCCACCCTGCTCCTTGACAACCGCCCCAGCCTCCTGGGACAGAACGCGGATCTTTTCGTGGCATTCCTGTAAAACATTACAACAAAAACCCATCAATTTGATTCCACATCCTTTTAAAATCCACAAAAGCTCTCTCTTGACAGTATAACAGTTAATCAAATTGATACAAATTACAACAACAACAGAGCGGAAATGTTATCGTTTATGATTAAGTTTCACATCACTGCGCCCAAACTTAAGATGTTTGTGTTGACGCTCCAATGGTGAATCAGTTTAGGCCCCGTTTATAAGTATCCACTTGTGCTGAAAACGGAGACTTTTTCTCAGTTTTCAAAACAAATCCGCGTCCATAAATTACGATTTGGAATCCTTTTTGCCCACCCAAACAAAAATGCAACATTCTCTGAAAACGGTACCATCTTTAATGGGAGCATGCGCATTTACTGGTATCTGAGCCCGCGAGATGGTGACGTCTAAGCTCATGCGCGGGATAGACTGGATCCAACACCATGAGGTAATCGTTTGCAAAAACCTCCGTTTTCATCCGTCCACACAAGTACAGCAAAACGGCGTTTATGAAACTCTTATCTCTGGACAGCGGTTTTGAAAGATGAGTTTTCGGTGACCATTTTCACCGAACTGAGTACAAGTGGGCGGTAGGCCAAGCCGGAGAAAAAAATCTCCGTTGTCAAACAAAAATGGATTCGTGTGGACAAGGCCTTATTAGTTTCTGGTTCAAAAAACATAATGTTGATTGTCAGCAGAGAACAGACATCAAACAGCTTTTATCTTAGTGCACCTGTAGTTAAAAGGCCTGATCATTATAAATATTTTTGGCGCTCCATTTTCTTGGCTTTTTCATCGTGGTACCAGGGCTGCAAATAACGGACAACAGGTTGCCGGTCATGATGACCGGCCAAATATTTTTTAGCCCGGACAAACCCCGATTCTGGCCGGTCAAATAATGAATACTAAATAATTTTTTTTTGCCCAAGGAATATCCAATTATGCTGGCAATAGATCGTTATTACTACATTGACGTTCACATTTTTGACAGCAAATTAGTGAAAAATGCATTCGCACGTTGTAGAGTTCCTTTCCGCGGTTTTCGGGCGTTTTAATGTTACGTTCTACCTTGAGTATCATTGCATGGCGGTGTCTGAAGTCTCTAGAGTTAAAAAGTGAAGCGTAAATCCTTTTCAAACTCCCAAGGTTCAGGAAACAGAATACACATACAGTTCAGCAAACTTTAGAAATTACAAAAAAAAAAAAAAAAATTGGGTTATTTTACAAAATCTGCACACGCTTGTTTTACGTTGATGTTCCGAAATGAACATCGGTGAAACTTGATCTTTTTCCTTGCCTGGCACGTGATCGCTTCTTCAAAGAAGAATCGTCGCTGATATTTTCGGCAAAGCCCTGAGTTGATTTGCAGTGGCGAGAAGTTTGTTCCACAAACAGCGTGTTGATGATCAGAAGTCAATAAATAAATTTGGGTCATCGCGCAGCATTTTATCGTGAAGGGCTCAAATGTCAACAGAAATTTGCATAAAGTTGTTTACAAGAACGAGAATCTAGCGCCGCGATAGACGACGACCTTCCCTCTTGAGTAGTTTAAATTTTTATCAGACCATTCTGGAATCGAGTCTGCAAACGAGATTCATGTTCGACATAAAAGAAATTATTATTAATTGATGCGCTAACATTTATTCCCGGAGAAACACAGGACGACCTGTTGAGAATTGCGATCGATTTGCCTGAATTCCTTCGAATTCCCAAAGAAGGTCACATTGCTGATTACAGCAAAGCCGAAAGTACGGTACGACTTGCAACGTTGCATTACTTTCCAACTCAGTTTGTTATTCACTTTGCTGCGTTAGATTACGACATGACGACATGAAATTAATTTATTGCGGCGTTCTTTTTCTTAGAAGGGTTTAGTGCAAAGCAGCAAAAAACGCCAAAGAAAAAAGAAATCATTGCAGCGCTATAGAGCATTAAGCGACAACTGTATGGAAAATAAAGTGTTTGTATCCAAAAATGACCGGTCAAAATGACCGGCAAGACCGGAGTTTGACCGGTCAAGTCCGCGATCAGGCCGGACATTGTCCGTTGACCGGCCGTTATTTGCAGCCCTGGGTACCGAAAATAAACAACCTGGAAGAAAGATCTCTAGTTTCCGGAAGTGAACAACAATTATCATACCTGCCTATTGCCTCCAGCTTTCACCATGGCCATGATAACGTTTTCTGACGCCATGAACGGTAACTCCTGACGAATATGGCGTTCAATAACCTGTTCGTCGCGACAGAAGAAAATCTTGAGTCAAACACCGAACGGACAATTCGCGTAAGATCGTGATCGTGAGCGTGAGCGTTCAATAACCTGTCCGTGGCGGAGGAAAATCACAAGCCAAACACTGAATACACAAAGCGCATAAGATCGCGAAGGTGAACGTGATCGTGATCACGCAACACGTGATTAGTGTGATTTTACAACCTTGGAAGACAGTGTCGAGTAACGGTGAAAATATTTCACTACTTGACTAGTCCTGGTCGGCCAGTTCACACTAATGGTAAGCGCCTCAAGGCTCCTTCAGATTTTTAGTAGATTTTTTTTGCTTTGTTGGAAAATAAACCAGACAAGGCTGACTGTTTACGAAGGGCCAAATTGAGCCACTGGGTTCTGATTAAAGTTCAACGTAGTGTACTAAAATGCACCACCGTGCTTCCAGCTTTCGAATAAGATGATTATTTTTCCCACAATAATAGGGCCATTTATACGAGGAAAAACAAGATGCGTCTTACATAGGACGCGTCTTAAATAATACGCGAACTTTCCGTATAAACGGCACATTTCGTCTAAAATAAGACGCGGCTTAGCTAAGACGCGTCTTATTTTAGAACAGCCCTTAACACCTGTTCTTAGGTAAGACGCGTCTTAGCTAAGACGAGAAAAACTTCGTATAAATGACCTTCGCGTCTTAAATAAGACGCAAACGCATAGTACGCATGCGTTAATTTTTGGCGCGCCACGTTGGATTGCCGTGGCTACGGGCAACATTCACATGAAAACGAGTCAAGAACAGAAATAAGACGCGAACCATTTATACGAGCTGTTCTCGTCTTAGATAAGACATGCTCGTATAAATGGTACAATTCGCGTCTTATTTAAGACGCGTCTTATGTAAGACGCGTCTTAAAACAGAAGATCATGACTAGAGAGGTTAAGCAAACGCGAGGGAGGGCAATCGAAAGTAAAGTCTTTTTGCACTTTGGAGCTATGTAATTTGTCCAATTCTTTAAGCAAGTCATCTCTGTAAGAAAAAAGACACTTGAAAAGACAAATGGGGTAGCGTTGAGACATATCAGAAGGGAAAAGGCCAACTTCCGGTTGGCGTCCATCTCGCCCCATGTAAGGAAATTTAAGACTGGATTCTGGATTCCACGTCCTGGATTCCGGATTCAAGGTATTGGATTCCGGATTCCTTGTCACCGGAACTTGGATTCAGAAATTCCAATGGTTTGCGGAATTCCAGGTATCTTGAGCTGAATTTCGGAGTCCAACGCCCAGTATTTCAGTTCCACAAGCAAAAATTTCCCGGATTTCGGATTCCAAAAGCAAGAATTTCTCGGATCCCGGAATCCGGATTCCCTTACATGGGGCGATCTGTCGTTTACATGGGGCGATCTGTCGCTCAAAAGGCCTGTGCATAAGCTCTCTTCTTGATTCATTTCTCTTACCTTTGGGTAAACTACCAAACCCTCCGAAACATTCTGCAAAGTACTGAGCAAAATGTCAGCTGTGAGGAAAGCTTCCGCCAAACTTATTCTCCTGCAAAAAATGTTTTGACAAGATAAGACAATGATTATAGTTTTCACATTAACAAATTGCACGAGTACAATGTAAATGTATTATTGACCATAAGCAATAGGAATGCGTTGAAAGAAAAAAATTTACATGCACTCTGAATCCATGTAGGGCGTTATGTAATTCAGACTTTCTGCATTTAGGAAAGTAAAAGCAGTGAGCCTCGGGTATGTTCTTATTATGTTCTTAACATTTTGGCAATTTTCAGGCTGAAAGTTTTGTTTACAGTTCTTAAAAAAGGGTCCCTACATAAAATAAATCAATCAATCAAGCTTTATTTACGGTATCACTTCATTAAAAACGCTCTTCCAGTCAGCCGTTTACATAACAAATTCTAAGAGAAACTACACTTACGCTAAAAATATATCTATATATTAAGAAAACTATCCTATAATTAATTGCACAAAAATCAACCTAAAATGTACATTATATAACTAAAATAAGTTTTATCACACTCCCTCAAGGCAAACCCCGGTTCAAAGCAAAGACAGGGCAGACTTGAAACAGTTGAGATTTATCTCGTCTTTAAGCACATTTTCTAGGCCATTCCACATGACTGCCCCCTATAGCTAAAAGACCGCTTAACAGCTTCAGTGCGGGGCCTTGGTACAAAAACATTGTTCGAGGCACCTCGCAGGTTGTAGGAATGAACCCTGGAGGTTGGTTTGAACACGTTCTTTAAATTCACAGGGTAAAGGTTAAAAGAGGTTAAAAAAGGTTAAAATGAATGTATAGTTATCCACCGTTTAAACAACTGGAACCTAGTGTTAGTGTTGGCTTAGGGGAGGCGGGGTATGTGGGAAGTTTCCCAGAAACGTATAATGTTCCCTGATGAGTTGGTAGATGGAATTGAGCACAGGAAAGGAATTCAAAAGCTAGTCTTTCTTGGCATCACCTGTTGGCGCTGTCATCCAGAGTTCTCTCCAGCCACTGTGTCGCAGCTGTTTGCTGTGCATCGCCTACAAGAACCATCAAATGACGTGCCAGACTGCAACATCTCTCACTTCGCATCGGATTCCGTTTGTACGGCATTGCACTTGAGCCTTGGGAAGAAAGAAAGAAAACTTCTGAGAACTAACATGATGGCGCTTCTTCTCTAACTTTGCGTAGCGTGAAGGTTTAGGGTGTACCGCGAGGTGAACGTCGTTTCGCCAACGCGTCCTTTTCGCTAACGTCCCGTTCGCCAACGTTTTAAGTCGTTTCGCTTAAAAACGAAACGAGCGCCACACATGAATATAACTGTTTCAGTAAAGGTTGGTTTGGGCATTGGGAATTGCGCTCTGGGAAAGCATTGTTGGAAGTCACTGAAGCAAGTCACTGCAGTGAATTTCGTATTCCCAACTGCCCAATTCGATCCAATATCCAACTGCCAATTCCTAATGCCCAAAGTAACCTTTATTGAAGCAGCTCTAGCCGTGACACAGAGTCCGATACACAACTGAAAGCCTCGTCCTTAAAACCATTGATCAGGCGAAATAAGGGAACTGACCTAGCACGTTACGGAAACGACTTAAGACAGCGAAATGACTCGTAGACAAAACGGTTGTAAACCCACCATACCCAGCAAGCGACCAAGTCCCAATGTGACTAATCTTCATTTATAAATAGTTCCTCTGGTGGCTTTACCGCGAGCACTTCCGCGCGTAACCTGTAGAACAGGCACTATTTTTTTGCGTTTTTCAGGGGAACGAAGCACGAAGCGAACTTGAAGCGTGAGACACGCGCAACAAAGAAAGGCGAGGAAAAAATAACTTCTTTGCCTTCCCTCGCCGTGCGTGTCTCGCGTTCCTCGCTGACTTCTTACTTGCCTTTGCTCGCCTAAAAAACGCCAAAAAGAAATGCTTGCCCTGCAGGTTATTGCGCGCGATAAATCCTGACAGCTACGCGTCCAGGGTAGAGCTTACTGTGCTAGAATCCTTTTTTGTTCTTAATTCTAGAGTCTGGCACTCAAGCAAATCGAACACTTGCGATCAAATCGTTAGTACTTGTATAGACGTATTTTAAGATTTGTTTTAAAGGACTGGGACTCGAACTATGATGCTCTTCTAGACAAGGCTGGTGTGTGTGGTTTAGCCAACAGGAGGATACAAAATATGATGATTTGTATATTCAAATGTCTCCATTTTGGTAAATATCCGTGCTATTTAAAACAACTGATCAAGTTAAGATCTACTGCTTACTCCCTACGGGGTACTAATATTTTATCACTTCCTAAGCCGTCTACAACCACATATGGTCTAAATTCCTTTAGCTATTCATCTGTTAAGTACTGGAATTCTCTACCTGATCACTTTAGAAAGACTGTAGATTATAGTGAATTTAAGCGCAAATTGTTAGTGCACAGTTTTAGTTAATACTACATTAATTAATATTATATTATATATGTTGTAACTTTTAAAATTAGTTAGGATCGGAGATACTAGCTATGTAAGCTACACTAAAATCCGAGGATAAATAAAGTTTATGTATGTATGTATGTATGTATAAAGAAGAGCACCCCATTCAGTGTACCCAAAAGGTTCTGTTAGGTTCTAATTCGTAACTTCAGTCGCACTCTGCACAACTACGACGTGAAATGACCAAATTTTAGTTTACTTGAGAACGGGAACGGCAAGGCGATAAATTCTACCATCTCTGTCTGAACTCAGGCGCGTTCCTCTCTCTTCAGTTCCGACCAAAATTCCCTTCTTTTAAGTATCAGGGCGAATTGGAATAATCGCGCCATCAATCTTCGGCTTCGAAGGGTAGGTAATAAGTTTAAATGGATGGGAAGTCTATCTGTCAGCGACCTTTTTATGGACGTCGCCGTTGTCGGATTGTAAGGTCCTCATTGTCCAATTTCTTCCCAGTTCCAGAAGTCTTTGCGAAAGTTTAACTCAGCCCGATTCCTTTCTCGGTTCTAAAGTGGTAACAGTGAACCGACCGGTTTGCGCATGTACACAGAGTTTTTGGGGGCTTACTTCATTTACTTGTTTTCAGTTACCTATCTGTTCCTTCTCAAAAGGTTCCTCAATTTCTTTTTGATTGGCCAAAAGCCTGATATCCGTACATATCTGCAAAGAAAGCAATCACAACGTTCAAAGCAAAACAAGGCGATAATTACTTAATATAAAAGAGAGCTAGATCTATACACTGTAGTGCCTATTTCAAAGATGACCATTTACAACAGCATACTGCAGCAACTATGTTCTCATGACAAAAAAACAATAAGCCTAGACTGCAAAACAGTCAGTTTTTTTCTCAAAATCAGTAAAGAAATCGGTAAAGGGTGGCGTAAAAGTCTTACGCGCGCGAAGCGCGCGAGCCTCACACGCCTGTAGGGCGTGTGAGGCGAAAGAAAAAAACTCCCCAGTCTCACTCTTCGTTTTCAGCCTCGTTCCAGACCTTTTGTTTCACTGTTCGCGCCTACTTGAATACGCAAAAATACGGACTGTTTTGCAGTCTACAATAGGCCATTTCCGAGTTCCCCCGAGCCTCTGAATCAAAACGAGGTCAAGTGCTCAGCCTTTGATATGGAGATGATTTTTCATTCTCGTGCAAATAAAACTCATTTTCACAAGAAAGGGTGTGCACTTGACTTCATTTTGAATGTGAGGGTTTTTGGAACTCGGAAGTGGCCTATCGAAACGTTTACTGTGCTGAAAAAGGACTAGGAAACGAGTCAGTGAGCTGGGGAAAGGGAAAGAACCACCTCTCCTCCTCCATTTTCTCATCATTGAGTAACTCCGTGTAGCCTATTTCAGACGTTCAGGTAGTAGGGAGTGGTACAAAGTAAAGAAAAACAGAGGGAGAACTGGGGAGGGTGACCAGGCTCCCTCCCTCTTTTTTCCCTCCCTTGTATTCATTTATTCTGTGACATTCTGGATCATTGTACATGTCTGGGAATCTACCCACCTACCCCTCCCCTACACCAATATTTTGCCCTAAGTGAGAAGTAATTGTTGTGTTGGCTTAGGGGAGGGGTAGGTGGGCAGTTTCCTAGAAATGTATAAAGATCTTGGATCATAATACATTTCTGGGAATCTGGCCACCTACCTCTCCCCTAAGCCAACATTTTGCCCTAAGTGAGAAGTAAGTATTAATGTTGGCTTAGGGGATGGGAAGGTGGGCAGTTTTATCCCCCTTTTTTACTTTGGGGCGTTCCCTAGCTACTAAAGCTGTATCTAAATTCTTGGAACGGACTAAACTCCCTGATCAATTTGTCAAGGGAAACCTCATCCTTGAAAGATGGCACAACTGTGGAAGGTGCTAGAAGCACTGTTCTTGACAAGCACAAGAAATAAAAGTTCCTACAAATGAATGTTACAGTACTGCAGTTACTTTAGGGGTAGGGGAGAGAAAAAGTAAAAATACCTTGTGAACAGAAGCCCCTAGACTGCCAAGAGCTGAAAGGCAATCCAAATCTACTTTACGGCTGTAGGTCTGGCCTGTAACCAGGTAATGGCTGTTGAACCCAGCCATTTCAGTCACCAGCTGGTCTAGTCTTTCCACCTATTATAAACGAACACATTTAAGGCAAATGAAACTTCACTTTTGAAAAAAAAGTGACACCAAGCAGCTGGAATTAAAAAAAGGGCAGTTTGATAGGAAATAGCCTGCATAGCAAGCAATTCTGCTCAAGTTAATTTATGACAGCTGGAACGCTCCAAGTTTTCACTCAATAACTCAAGCGGAAATACTTGCTACCCAGGCTAAAGAAGGAACCTCGAAAAAGAATGAATTTCTACCTTGTCATGGTCTCCATCAAAAAGACTCAGAAAACTGGCCTGGGTACCTGTGGTACCCTTAACGCCTCTAAACCTCAAGTCATCACGTGCTCTAGTTAGGTTTCTTAGGTCCATTAGAAGGTCAGACAGCCAAAGGCAAGCTCTTTTACCCACTGTAGTCAGCTGAGCTGGTCTACAATGAAAAACAGGTCAGTGTTGTTAGTAGGAAGAAGTAACTGAGGAATTTGTTTTAGGCTCACCTGCAAACAAGGTAATTTGGGGCATACATACATGTAGGTCTAACCATTTTCCAAGCAAAGGCCTCCTTTATCATTTTTCTAAGACCCTAAGTATATAGCAATGTTGAGTACAAGTCTGTTAGAGTAGACTGTAGAGTAAATTAAAGCAAAGTAGAGTAGGTTAGAGCAGAGTAAATTAGAGCACAGTGGAGGTTAGAGTAGTGTAGATTACACTGTAGAGTACAGGCTATAGTACACAGTACACGATGCAGATTTGAGCAGCTTGGAGTGGATTATAATAATGTGGAGTACACTGTTAGAGAAGTGCAGCGTGTGTTACCTTAGGGTAGAGTAGGTTATAGCAATGTACACTATGTTAGAGAAAAACAATATAGGGTAAATGAGAGTGAAACAGAGTAGTGGTAGGTTAGAGCAAAGCAGACTACTGGTAGGTTAGAGCAGGGTAGAGTAGCTAAGAGTAGAGCAGTGTAGAGTAGGCAGAGAAGAGCAGAGTAGGTTAGAGCAGTGTAGAGTAGGTTAGAACAGTGAAGCATGATAACTGAAACAGCAGGCCCTAATGCCTTAAGATAAATTGTTTCCATAACTTACTGAAAATGTGTGTAGCCAAGGGTGGGAATTGACTTGTTCTGCTCTGCAAAACCTGACAATCTATGTATGCATCTTGCCAGCTTCAAATAAAATCAAGAAGTAAAAAGACATTAAGATAAAATACTGTAACCTTATTCTTAATAACGCCAATAAATTACACAGATGTAATACATACATGTACAGGCACCTTGTGCTCATGATAAATTACGTTACATTATTCTCGAAAAATTCAAACTTCGCAGTGACACCAAAGGCAAGGATGTGCTCTAGCAGAGCCCAGTGGCCTGAGGTGCCTAACTTTTGTTCTTGGGCAACTAGAAAATCATACCTTTTTCATACAAATCATATGCTGGGAGCCTGTATTTCACAAGTTCAGAGCAGTGGGCTCCCTTCAATTTTTCTTAGAGCACAGCCTTAAAAGGGCCTAGACATCTAGCTTCTAACCTCAACCTTTTGTCACAATTTCTGTAAACACGAAATAAAAGTCAGCCTCACCTTTGGGAGTATAATGTTGAAAGCATCCTTTAACACAATAAGGGTCCCAAATATGTGAAAACAGAACAGACAAAATTTCTGAAAATATCAGCTGTCAAAACAGAACAGATAACAACACTGCTGTTTTGAAATTTTACAGTCTGTCCCTTCATTTTCTTTAAACACAGAAATAACTAGTCAAGTCAATCTAAAATATTTTTAAAGAAAGCGTTTGTATGTCTTTATGTCCTATTTTTTGTTTTTATCCTGCTATGGACATGTAAACAAAAAGCTCTTTGGTCAGAACAATAATCTTGCACTACTGCTGTGGTTACTTTTCAGGATATAAAAATCCAAAGGAACAAATTTGTTTATCCATAATTTTAGATTTAAACTTATTTTGATTCCCTTTAAGGAGAGAAGAGCTTTTTTATAGGACTGCTATGGTATCAGCACCATCCCTTTTAACATTCCCTGTAGTAACATTCTTCACCTGTGTGGAATGATTGCCAATCATGACAGAACTCTGACAGCAGAATTCTGAAATGGCCATTGTTAGAGATGTTGCCATATCTTTCAGGGGCATTTTTGGGTATTTCACTAAAAATGACAGGAATTAGTCAAGTAACCTATGTTTATAACTGTACAAAATAGTCACTGACAGAAGACAATCCAGTTTCAGTGCCATTGGTACCTCTGTGGGCAAAAACAAACTTGATTCATGCCCACAATATGTAATCCCCTTAGCTCTTACAGGTGTACAAAATTTTCTGACAAGCATCCTCATTGCTTATATAAGAAAAGTGCCCCTGCCCCTTTGCATGGGACAAATGGTGAATGCATATTGCAGACTTGCAGGCAAGTACACAAGGTAAACAATGCTATGATTATGCTCTGAAAGCTGTTCCTAGACTTTAGAAAATGTTACTGCAGAAGAGGATGACTAGTCAGGGTTCTATCTAGGATTTATTGCTAGGGGAGAAGTCCCAAGTGGCTGAATCGCATGAGCTTCCTAGGGGGGTCTGGAGGCATGCTCCCCGGAAACGTTTTGAAATGAATATGCGCTGAGTTGCCATCTGGTGCCATTGAGAGACAATTTTGAGAAATGCTACAGTGTGTGCACTGACCTTGTCGCGTCTGGATGATTTTTCCGATATAGTTACTTATAAACTGTAACAATAACAGTATTTTTTGGGGGGAAAGCTGGGCATTTTGGGGAAGCGTCTACCCCTCAAATACCCAAGATAGAACCCTGCTTGTTTTTAGAGCATTTCACATCACTTTTTTTGTTGCTGACCTCGCCTCGGTTGTTCAAATGTTGGATAGCACTATCCACCGGATAAATCACTATCCAGAGGATAAGTATTAGGTAAACCAATTCCATTATCCACTGGATAGAGGTCTATTCAGTGGGTAATGTTATCCACCTTTCAAACAAAGGCCCTGCTAGACTCCGGCCCGCACTTGTCCCACCCTACATTAAACCCCTCTCCAAAATCCCCCCCCCCCACCCCTTCCACCGTGAAACCTCCGTGTAAATATTGTACACACGTCTCAGTAGATGTAAATATTTTTTTCTACAAAAACTTACGGTATTATCACCCACATAACAAGATGTGGCTCCCAGATGTATTATAGGGGCAGCTTTGGGACAGCACGCGCCAAAAGTGTGCACGTGCGCCATGACATCATGTCTTCTCTTTTTTTCCTCGGCAGCCGCTAGTTTGTAGTCAATATTTGTTAAGTTAGTTTCCATTTCCTGAATTTGCTCATCCGTGATGTCCAAGCCTAGCATCTATAAATAAAAAATAATGCAAAACTCGATTTTTAACAAATCGTGATTGGCTTTTCACTGTAGCTTTCGAACTGTGTCAACACCGACAAATTGTAAATTTCACCTTCTCGGACTTAGCTAAAAAGAGCCAGAGCTTCCTCCACGTGGAGAATTTTTTGTCTTCGGAAAAGTTAAACGCCATTTCAGCGCTAGCATAGCGACTAGTCAATGGACTCCGATAAACCGCGTGAACCGAATCTCCCGCGTCCGCCATCTTGTCTGTAACTATAATGAACCTACGATAATTTGGTCAGCGAACATTCAAAACAAATTTACCTTGGTACCAACTGAGCAGCGGATTGCCTCAAAAATGTTATGGCGGACGAAGAAAAAGTTCATTTTACTTTCGCCGATGATTATGCTCCGTATTTTTTGTTGATCTTCTCCCCGATCTTTGTGATTAGCTGCCTTTTCGGTATAGTTTACACTTTCCTAACCACAGAGGTGAGATATTTGCCTTTTTTTTCTGTGTAAGGGAAGAAAAGATAGATTGTTTACAAGTTTAATAACCTGCTGTCATTTCGACGCAGCTGAAACTCAAGCCAGGTTCCCTTACAATCTCCCGGATCGTGTCGAGTCCTCTCAAGATGTAGTCAGAGGATCGACGAGACGATCATATGGAAACATCTGTGATGCGAAGAGGGTAGATCGGGACGACTGCAACGATTTTTTTGAAATGACAAGTCGTACAATTTCAAACTGCCGTAACTTGAATTTGTGTTTTGTCAAGAGGAAAAGCCCTGCTGCGGGAACAAAAATTTTCGTTGTGAGGGACCATTTCACTTAATCTCCAAGGCACCACCCACCACCACCACCACCCCCACAGAAAGTCATATCTATAGATTGAGGTGGGGGGGGGGACACTGGCAAGTTTTTTCCGAGGGGTCACCGCATTGACGCCTTTGATCTTTGAAATATTTCTGAGGAATATCGGATTGTGTCGGTACTTTTGACCGTAGCGGGTAAAAGGGAGTCAACTTACCTCGTCTGTAGAGGAGAGGGGCAAGGTTGGAGTGTGGCTGTTAAATGGAATGGCCCTGACCTGTGTTGCTGGCATTTGTTGCCTGACAAATACACAAGGAGCAGTTTGTCAGAGAGACCTGTGGTAGTAACTTCCCACCCGCTGTCTGATTTTAACATATGTTAGGCGGGTAGCAGTACATGAATGTACAGTCAACTCTTTCTTAAGGCCCATGGACACCTCTACATGATGAACACCACCTCTGTAAAATGGACATGTGGAGTTGATCCCTGCCTTTCTTTACTCCCTTTATTTGACTCTCTCTAACATGGACATCTCTCTAAGACAGAAACTTTGTGCTGGTCCCAAAGGTGTCTGTCTTAGAGGGAGTTGACAGTAATGCAGTGTAATATAAAACAGTGTCCTTGTGAAGAGAGTAGACATTCATATGCTTCTTGAATTTTACAGGATTTTCCAGAGTCATGTCTGAACCAGTATTCACCATGCTACTTTGGTCTCCTTGTGCCAACTTTTATACCAGTCTTGGTTGTTTTTATGTATTTCAACTGGATGGGACTGAAGTTTTTTATTCACAACTAACCAAGAGAAGAAAGAGATAGAAATGATTATCAGTGACACTGAAGAAAGTGCTGATGATGATGATGATGATGATGGTGATTGATGATGATGATGAAAGATAGAGACAATTATCAGTGACAATGAGAAAAGCAATGATGATGATCACAGTGATGATGATGATGATGATGATGATGATGATGATGATGAGAATGACAACAGATTTTTGAACAGTGAGTTTCTAAGGAAGACATGTTCTGGAGTAAAGCAACTCAGGCTTTTAATCATTACATTCAGTGAGAAAAAGTCATACAGTTAAACCTGTATGTAACAGCCCTGTATATAGTGGTGACCCTGTATATAAACGGATACACTCTACTGTAAAAGTGGCTATGGTACACCTCTCGTACAAGAGAGGGGAACAAGGGTGGTACAATGGTGAGAGCGCTCACTTCCCACTAATGCGGCCCGGCAGGTTCAAACCTGGCATCAATGCTATAGTGGGTTGAGTTTGTTTGTGAAGGAGGAGGGAACATGTACTTTCTCAGCTCCTCAAAAATCAACACTTCAAATTCCAATTCGATCTGGAAGAATGCATAGACATGTTTAAACAGGTTCTTAAGAAATCTTAAGTACTTTATGGGAAATCGAATTACAAATTAAATTGCACATTACAAAGGAAACTCAGCAGAAACCTTCATAGAGGATGTTTATGAATGAAAATCCAGTCGTCATCAATGGTTCAACTTTTAAAGAAGGTCGGGCCGGCCGCGCGGGATTTTTTTCGTGCCACGAGCGATGTCGCCTCCATTTCGTTTACGCTTCAATTGAAATGCATCACACAAGTGACAAGAATATTCAGAAAGGTATAATTATCAGGGTTGTCACTAAGATTTCAAGTTTCCGGGTAAATACAACAAGTAGGCGGAGAATCAAACGGCTAGGCATTTCTTGTGGTTCTATTTTTCTTCTATTTTCCAACAAAAGTAGCTGGGGGCCACTCTCCTAGTAGCCGGGGAAAATCCCCGGCCCCCGGCTCTTAATGACAACCCTGAATTATGACACAGGATCGTATTTATAGTTAAGAGTCTTCATGTCCATAGCGTCAGTCAACCTGGCAGAAAACTGTTATGACAGCGGAGAGCGGTGCAATAAGTGCTAACTCGGATTAATAGAATAACCGATTTCGGGCTACTATTCTCCGATTTAGCACTACAGATTTCCTCCAATTTTACTATTCTGCGATTAAGAAAACTGTCAGTGTGTTAAATACAATTCTCCGATTATACGATTCTATAACTGTAGCGTGCTATTGTCCGATTTTACCCAAATGACTGTAAGTCGCCGATTGTACGATTCTTCCGATTCGACTATTCTACAACTGTAGTGTGCTGTTGTCCGACTTTACCTGAATGATTGTTGCCATAAGTTTCCGATCGTACGATTGTTCCGATTCTACTGTGTTTTACGCATACATGTATCGTAACAAGTCTCAGATTATACGATTCTCCGATTTTTCCTGGAGCACGCTTCTTTCGCTTTATGACTTACGCAACGAGGAATAATGCATGTAATATGCGTCGTAAAACGAAACTCGAGAATCGAAATAACCTTAGAATCGGAAACTGAATTATAGATCACAACTCCTATAATTATACTATCCTCCGCTTTAGCAGTTATCGCACCCTTCTGTGATAACGTCAGTCGTGTCCACATATCGACTCAAATCAGTCCTTGACATACTTTATCAGGCAATACAGGCCCGTTTTATTTTTCTCTCTATGTTTTGATACATGCACGCAAAGAACTAAAACTTCACACTGCTATTGCGGCTGGTCTATCGGACTGTTTGTGATCAAGATCTGCCACACCTCCTCAAGGGCACACAAAGCGGCTGTAGAGACAAAGACAGAACAACAAGATTTATTACTTTACGATTTAAGATTCGTTATGAGGATATGAACCTATCCGAAAGGTGATGTTACACGGGATGATTTGCAACGACGATTTTTAGCGCAACACAGCGTTGCAAGAATGTTGTAACTATTCGAAACAATGTCGCAACCGATGATTTTGCAACGCTGTGTTGCTATAAAAATCGTCGTTGCGAATCGACTCGTGTAGCATCACCCTAAGGGCCTGTTTACAAGGAAGGAGGGTCACCTTGGTGTTAGGGTTACCCTAGCACTCGCACAGTTCTCTCGTTTTACGCAACGTGTTTACGAGGCAGATAGGGTTATCCTGGCTCTAGGGTAACCCTCCCCGAGTGCTGGGGTTACCCTACCTGCTGTTGTTCCCTACGCAACCCCGAAATCGCAATAAAAACTACAATTTAAAGAACTTATTTCGACATGAATTTTGACAATAGCAAGAGAAAAGTATTAAAATTACAGTTCAGAAATTTCTTTGTTGTTGTTGAAAATTCAAGAGCTGTTAAGCGTCTCGTCAAAAATGATTGGTTAAACTTTTCAATACATTAACTGATGAAGTGTTCGCAAAATCGAGCGTCCTTATTAAAAATACAGTACGTGGTCAAAAGTAGAAATTACAACAACAGATGTTTACTCAGCAGGCAACTCAAAAATAAGAGATAGCTCGCCCTTTTTAATTTGAATATATTTTATTTTACGTAGAAACTATCGACTGATATGAATTCGGTTGAAAGTGCGAGAAAATAGCACTGAAATGGTCAAAAATAACGAAGTAAGCCTTTTCCTGGAAAATACAAATAAAAGGTGGAGTTGAGGTCAAAAATGTTAAACTGTGTAACGTTCTTAATGTAAATAAGGCTTTGCTCCGTTAAGGAAACTTAAATTAAACATATTTGCATGATAAGAAGTGTTATGGTGGAGCCGTACCAAAATGAGACACCTGTCTTGCAACGAATTCTTATCAGGAGAAGGTATCTATTGATCATAAGTTGAAATGACCAGGAAAAACCATAACAATAGAAAAACCATAGGATTACAAGTTCAAATTAGTTAACTAAAATCACTAAACTGATATTACAGTTAACAAGTGTCACTGCATTCGACAAAGACGACTAACGTAACTCTTAAAACAGTCATTTCTCTCGGCGAGAAAACAAGAATAAAACTAACTTCTCATGTCAGGAGAGAATAACGGTCGATCAGCATCATTGCGGGGGGAGTTGAATACCGAGGAAAAGAGCCAAATTGATTTTATAATATTTTTCCCAATCACATACAGTATATTTTTAAACGTAGCAATCTGTAATAAATCCTAAGCACCGAATAAAATTCTCTTAACAACTTTCATTCAAAATAAATGCGTTGTGAATGTACTTTGCCACTGACAATTTTTATCATTTTACATACATCACTAACACGTTATTTGCATTCACTCTTTCAGTTGTTTTTAACCTTGGACTATTCACCCATTACTCACTCTAGAAACATTGAAACGACCGGCCTTTTTCAGAATTATTAATATGTATTTGGAGAACCTGGACAATTTCTCCTGCAGTATTTTATCTATAATTTCAGTTTAAAAGTCAGCTTAAATTGAACATTTCCCGGTTCAAGTAGTTAATGACACTTTCACTGAAAACAGATGTCAAATACGTCGTCAGTTGCGCTTATCATGAAGTATTTTTGCAATTGTCTATTGACAACGCCATTTGTATATATTATTTATTATCACTCCTAGAAAATAGCAAAGAAAATAGTTAATAAAACGGTTTTTACTAACGAGGCTTGCTTAACAGTCTAACAACCTGTGTCCCTCCGGTAACGGGTCGATCAGGAGCTTAAAAATCAAAAGGTCTTCTGGAGAGGCAAAAACACCAATCCAAATCTTGAACAACTTGTGGGTTAAATGTTATTTAGATGAGCCCTAAAGGATGTGGCCGTATGAATCATTCCTGCCAATAAGGTACATTTACCTTCCCCCCCCCCCCCCACCATAATGGAGCTCATGGAGGTCTCGTATAGGGATTCTCTATAAGTTTTCTATTTTCTGGACCAATTATTTCACTTCTATTAAAGACCAATGTAAAAGTTTACATAAAATCTTGTAACATCTTAAGAAATTGACAGACAACGCAGAAGTTCTACCAAAGAGGTTTTATTTGAATAGTAACAACATTGGATTCCGAATGATTTCAGAGTGAGAAATCATCCTTCCATAACTTGGTTTTAGAGTGGAAGGGTTAAAGTAAATAGTATGTTTGCTTTTGGTTTTAGTCGAAAGTAATCGCACAATTCATAAACGGGTTTTTAAAAGGCCTGTAGGTGAGTAAATAATGTCTTTATGAAATAAGTGGCACTTCAATCTATTTTCAGTGGAGGATAGGCAGATAGGACAGCTTACACATCACTGAACAGTGAACCACTTGATAAACCATTGCGGGAAAGGTTGTACCTTTTTCGTCAAGTACTGTTTCTAGTTACATGTTCTTATATAAACCACACAACGAGAAACATTTGACACACATCACATTCAAGCAAGAATCGCATACAGTTATAAAGTACATATTCTATCTTGTAAAAATGGGATGTTTTAGAAACTCAACGCCTAGAAGCCTTTTTTATATTAATTCTTTCACTTCTCTTATTGGCAAAAGAAAAAATTTACCCATTTTTTTAAAAAATCCTTTACTATAAATAGCACTATGGAAAAGTCCAACCAAAGAGGTATTATTTGAATGGTAACACTATGGTATTTCCTACACGATTGTAACGTTGTAGTGACAAATATCTCTTGTAACATAAGGCTAAGGTTGTTTCACTACCGATAAATGGCATTGTAAAAATAATTTTGTTCATATTTGCTCTACCCCACTCTTTAAAGCGTTTGTTTTCACTTTTTTATGTTTGTTTAGCTTTCAAAGAAAGCGTTTCTAAACAAAGTTGTTACATTATCTTCAGTTTGAAGCTTTCAAGGGAAGTCAGCGTTTCTCTTGGCCGCTAATTAATCTTCGCAGTGACAACATCAATTATCATGAAAAATGGTCTTTGGACGATACCCTACTCGTCAGCATTTTTTTACGTAATGCT